GAACATGGACCTGAACATGGACCAGAACATGGACCTGAACATGGACCTGAACATGGACCTGAACAAGGACCTGAACATGGACCTGAACGTGGACCTGAACATGGACCTGAACGTGGACTTGGACATGGACCTGAACATGGACCTGAACATGGACCTGAACATGGAGCAGAAAAGACCAGAGCTGTCTGGAACTCATTAAAAGGATTTTAGATGTTGAAAGTGAAGGCTTCAAAACCATCTGCACACTACTTCATGCTCCTCTGACCACAGCTGAAGATAACAAGTAGAAGGTTCATGGGACTGCAGCCAACCTCCAGGGACATGGGACACAAGAGGAAATGCAACCCCATGTTGATTAGATGGATAGTGTTGATGGTGGACAAAGAGCAAGGAGATGATTCAAAATGATTGGAGCTGACCTGAAAGCCAAGGAACGTCACCGTCACCAGTGATTCATGACAGGCTCTTGGGAAGAAGACTCAGTAGGACTTCACTACTGGCAGAAAACACAAGAACGTCTGACTGGTATTTACCAGAACAAGCTCCAAAGGCTTTGGAAGTGATGAGAACCCTTCATGGTTCCATGATTCTTGTAGAACAGTTCCAACAAATGGATTTATTCTGTAGATTATTACAAAGGCTCCATACATGTCTGAATATCTACACGTTTTACAGCAACGTCCATTTTTAACATCAATTTCTGTTACTCTGTTTTCCAATGGGTGGAAGTCATTGATGCTGCAACAAATAAAACGTGCTCCATGGATGTTCTTGTCTGCTTCAACATATTCCAGTCTTTTATAATCTGGCACGGTCCTCCCTGTGTCCGAGGGCCAGCTTGTTGGAGCGAGCGAGGCAGCGTCTGTGAGAAACAACCAAATATAAAAAGATATTTACACCCGTCATGGTTTCCAGGTAGTTTCCTGGAACGTGGTCTGTGTTCTGTGGAGCAGGCCCCACACAGACGACTTCTGTACATGTTGGAGCTGGACAGGAGGCAATAGTGCATTCTGTTGATTTCTTGCTCTCCTTTAGATCTTCTCTTCATCCCACAACAGTCAGCGAACCTGTGGAGCGTAGCCCTCCTTCATCAGCCCTTCTTCATAGTCCGTCTGGCACAGAATCATGTTGTTCTTGAGGAAAAATTTGTCTCCTACACAAAACCTGTAGGACACAGAGAGGACAGAAGGTTTAAACAACCATAAGGTGCAGAATCTCCCTCTGTCTGTCTAACTCAAAGCTCTGGAGCATCCTGCGCTTCTTTGGTCTTCTTGCTTTCACTAAACGTGGCAGGAGCCTGTATGACGTCTGTAACAAAGCTGACGGTAAAAAAGGTTTATTTATGTACGGCACTTTGAAATGTGCACATGGATTCCTGTAGCACACTGAAATCATACCGCCTCTGTTTTTAGCACGTTTTTGTTAAGGTCTTGGTTATTGTGTGAATGTTGCTTCAGCGTTAGATGGTCGGTGAAACAGTCTTCTGCTGATCATAATGAACATGGACTGCAGAGCCAGAGGCCACCAGCAGGGGGGGTCAAAGTACCCAGAGCATTACACACGTTTGTGTAAATTTACTGAAGTACAGACAAATTTGACTGTGTATGAAATGAACATGTTGCTTCAGAAGGGACTTGACTAACCCTGACCCCCCAGGCTGCTCCTGGAGCTCTGCGGCACTAGGAGTAAACCATGTTCAGCAGCCGGAGTGTGCACAAGGACTGCAAGTGAAGGAGTGGAGAGCACCAGCAGAGGGAGTGAGCCTCTGGACGGTCTTGTGCTGCACATTGGGAGCTCCTGTAGAAGGTCGTCTTTGTGATGATTCCATGAGGACTGCACAGCTGACCGAAGCATGGCTGCATTATGTCACGAATATAGTTATTATAATTAGAAGGATGAGTGACGCGGCAGGAGCTGAGGCAAAACATCACGTTCTTTGTGGAATGTGCCGTTTTACCTTCAACCACTTCAGATTATTTATATACAACAAGTCCTTTCACTGCACCAGAGACACAGCACCATCCATCCATCCATCACCCATCCATCCATCCATCCATCCATCCATCCACCCACCCATCCATCCATCATCCATCCACCCACCCATCCATCCATCCATCCATCCACCCACCCATCCATCCATCCATCCATCCATCCACCCATCCATCCATCCATCCACCCTCC